CCTAACAACATCATTCGTTTACAAACATGTACAAGCCTGTATAGACAGGTCCGAGTATTGCCGATGAATTCCAGGCAGAAAGTAGTGCACACAAAGCAAAATTAAACCAGTCTGTTAACTACCGTCTATGTGTATTGTCGTGTCAATACAGAGTTCTAATGTGTTTTTAAAGTGTATACAAATACTATAAAATATAATAATTTATTCTACTTTTATTGGACACCGTAGTTCATATTTCTACCACCAGTTCTAATATTATCGCATGCGTTATAATAAGCCGCTTAAATAAAACTATTTTACACTGCTATTTAAAGTATAATATATTTTTTATACTTAATTACTCATCTATCCGTTGAAGGGTAAAGTCGTGTTTCGCGAGTTCGACTATAGTGTTCATCAGTTTTAACATAACCATGTTCTCATGTAGTATATGCGATAAGACCTTTACTAGGATCTGCAGTCTACGCAGACATGCCAAGTCACACGATATACAAAATAAAATTTCATGCAGTATATGCTCAGAAATATTCACACGGAGAGACAACCTTATCAGACATAGCAAGGAAAAACATCGTAAGTATTTAACAATTTAATATATTCGTAAACTAGACGACTAGTGTATCTTAGTAAAACTTAGTTTCATTACACTATCTAAATATAATATTATTTTAAATTATCTAACTATTAATATCATTTCTAGAATCAAATATTGCAATTCAACAAGAACCAACCATAACCAATCGAGAAATTCAAGATTTTTTTAAACCAGCTGAAAACATTTACGATTATAATGGTAAATATTTTATTCATATGTTTATTCACCTCCTATGATATAACAATAATATAAATATATATATAATAAAATAATATCATGTTCACCCCCTCATATATACATATTATTTACTAGTACTATTATTTCATGGTATACAAAAGTACGTATTCATCTAAAATAATCTGATAATATTTCAAATAAACATATTTAAAGTTATAATTAGTTATTACTATTATTTCACAAAAGAATAATGTGTATTATTGCTATAACTGAGAGCTCTATATCATTTTTGTTTTTGCTTTTACATACATAATATATTTACATAACATATACATGTTGGTAATACTATAGCTTCACAACTATCTCCTTTTATTAATATATATTTTTAAAAATCGTATTTTTTTCTATATATTAAACATATCACTAACATTTTTTTTTTAAATTCTTGATTTTTCTTCATAAACTTTTGTTAAAAAAAAAAAAAACCGTTTATATTTATAACAATTTATCTTTACACACATATTTTCTATAATGTTTATCAATAAAATAGTAAATTATTTATTTTATTTCAGTTCCTTCGGCTTCAAATCGCAATGATCTTAAGCGTGTACATGCGGAAAATTCGAACGAAGCAGTAAATGCTAAAAAAACACGCATGAGCATCGTTAAAACCCCCCGGTTTTGTTAAGACTGGTTCATCGATCTCTAATAAAATCAATTGGTATTATAAGAAAAATACAGATAATATGAACAACTTCAGCGCATTTTTAGTATCAGCAAAAAAAGACTTAATTCAATTACTTAAAACATCATCGACAAAACACCCAATTAAATTTAACCTGAAATTGGAAGCGACGTACAGCCGGCCAAACGTAGAGAATTCAGCCGAGAACCGTGCATTTAAAACTTCAGCCAGAGAAATTTTTATGGATACGGATATCGACTCAATAGTAGAACAAGCGTTCGTAAAATTATTGCTCGAAGAGGATGTTTATACATCTAAAGGAAGTGGCTTTACTTTGGAAGCCATAGACGGTTTACTGTTAGGAGTATACAATTACACACCTATGGGTGCCGGGTGGCTCATCATACATTCCATTATCAAATTATATTAAGAATAAAAAGGCAGTCATCAATCCCCAAAACTCGGACCAACAGTGCTTCAAGTGGGCAATCTTAGCAAGACACGTTATGGGCAATAACAAAACTATTGTAACTGAAAATTATACATCGCTCGAGGACAATTATAATTTTTCTGGTTTATCATTCCCGACACCCATCACAGAAATAAAAATATTTGAAAAAAATAACCTGAACACGTCTGTCAACGTTTATGGATTAAAAAAAGAAAATAATAAGAAACATATGATTTTCCCACTTAAAGTTGTGGATGAAGAAAAAAAAGATCATTTCGATCTTTTACTAATTACTGTCGGAGATAAAAACCACTACACATACATCTCTAATTTTTCCCGGCTTATTAGATCACAAAAAACTGGACATAACGACTCTGTTGTATTTTGCAAACGTTGCTTCACATCGTATGATAATCGACCTTTGAAAAATACACTATGTGGGCAAGCAGCACTTGATCAACATAAATTGATATGTGGGTCGCATAAACCAATTTTACCTCAGATGCCTGAGCCCGGTTCAATGTTGGAGTTTAGCGCATGGAACAAAACACAACGCCACCCCATAGTTATTTATGCCGACTTCGAGGCGCTTCTCGTTAAATGTAACGAGAAAAAGGGAAAAAATACTACTGTAATTCAAAATCATGAGCCTATGAGTTATGGTTTTTTCGTAAAGGTCGATGACCACATACCAAAAGAACTGCTTGAAGAATTTGAAATACCAACATCGCCAGTTATATACCGTGGAAGTAATGAAAATAAAGAGGTAGCAAAACATTTTGTACAAAGTATTGTGGAAATAGCAGAAAAAATAGACAAACTGCTCAAAACCAACACACCAATTATAATGACACCGGAACAGCGACGCACACATGATGTATGTACAACATGTAATTTATGCAAAAAGGGATTTTCCAAAGAAAACCATAAAGTAGCTGATCATTGTCATCTATCAGGCAAATTTAGACAAACTTTATGTAATTCATGTAATCTCAAGCTTCAACAACCAAATTTCGTACCGGTTTTCTTTCACAATTTAACCAACTATGATGCTCACTTTTTGGT